CCTTTTCTTTCCACACCAGGTACCCCTTTTCTTTCCACACCAGGTACCCCTTTTCTTTCCACAAGGAGCCAACTAGTGGCTCAGTGGCTGTGCCTCAAAGAGTAAGAGAGGTTTGGGGAGGACTCGTTGGGCCTTTAGGGTCAGTTCTCAGCTGTTGGTGGCAACTGCATGAGGGTACAGCAGCTCTGGGAAGGATGACCCAGAGCCTCGGGACTTGAGCTGCTGGAAGCTCCGGTGTTCTCATGTTTCAGCCCAGACTTTTCATGGCCATCGGATACTTGTTTTCTCGTGTATGAACACCCCTGCTCTTAAGGGAGATGTGTTTACTGTTGTGTTTACTCCCTGAAGTTTTGTGGAGAACACCCATTTCCCTTCTCAGCGTTCAGGTTTTCTGGCTAAACAAATTATTTCAAGATCCTTATATAGGGAAAAAAATCAGTATTACCCTGTAATTACTTTCTGGTCACATTTTGTCTCCCTCAATAAAAAGTGACCAGAGCTGCATGCATAATTCCAGAGAAGGTTGCAGCAGAGCTTCCTATAATGGCATTAACATTTCCCCTTGTCCTGGAAATATCTCAGTTGATCCATGCTTTTTGTCAGATCTGCTTCATACTGGGAGTTCACAGTCATCTGGAGATCAACAAATACACCCAGATTTTTCTCTTCTTCTGTCATTTCCAACTGATGAGCTCCCAGCTTGCAGCAGAGATTCTTGTTAGCAATTCCCAAGGGCATGACCTTGTACTTTCCACTATTAAATTTCATCCCATTTCCAGTGTGCCAGCTCTGTGTTATCCAACTCTTCCAGCAGTACAGCTATTCCTGCTGCTCGGCTGGTGCCTCCCAGCTTTGTGCCATCAGCAAATGCCATCAGCTCACTCCTACCTTTTGTTCCAAGGCCTGTCTGAAAAATATTGTGCAAGATCAAGAGCACATACAGACCTGCCTTGCTGGGCCAGCCTGTGATCACGGGGATCCAGCACTCCAGAGGCTGGATAGGGAGAACAAGGGAACCCAGACACTTTCTGCTCACTCTTCCCTTTGAACGCCCTGTGGATCCACAACTGGTGTATATTTCAGGTGCCTTCCCTACCTTTTCCATCTAGCTACATTTTATGGACCTGCTTTCCATTAATTTATTGAATAAATTAATTAATCTATAATATATCTGTTGTCTAAAAAACAATTATCAAAGGTATAATCTTAGTTAAATGCAATTAATCTTTAGTAAAGCTATGTCACATTTTTACTTTACATTTTTACATTTATTTGTCTGGCCCCAACTGCTTTTTCCTTTATATTTTATTTTTTAAGCTTTTAATGTTGTTGAGGTCACACTAACGTGTGTCTAAATGACTGGATTGCTTTACTTCCTCCTGCTTAAAACCAGCCAGTGCTTCAGGAGTTCCTCTGTAATTCATTACCACCCTCCAGCTGACAAATTAAAAACTGTACTGGATGAGTGAGGATACATTCCAGGTCCGTCAGGACTCTGGTTTTGGGAACACCTCATTCCCTGAGCTGTCAGGTTCTTACAGGCCTTGCTCTCCCTTTGGGTCCAGTAATTCCCATTTCCATAAAATAATCCTCATTAGCTATCATCCTTCGTCCTGATCATCATGGGAAATATGGGCAAAAGTCATTTAACATATTAAAAAATACACTGGAACACAAGTAATGGAGAGGTTCAGGGCACAGGACATGGAATGTCTCCATGCAATGTGTGTGACCGTATTGGTAAGGATGGAGTATAGAAATAAGCAGCTGGAAGTGCCCAGCTTTTCCTGTCACAGGGATGGCACTGCAGGAGTTCCCCCTCCTTGAAAACCAGCAGGAGCACCCAGCAGGTTCTGCTGTGCAGCAGCCCTGGGTCTCCAGGATCCAGCTCCCTGAAGTAGGTCACATCTGATCTCCCTCCAGACACACTCAGAAAGGCAACATTTAACAGGGACTTCTCAAAATTCACATTTTGCTTGCTAATGCTGTCAACACACATCCTTTTCAGATTCACCTATACTGGCTCAACATATTTTCGTTGCTTTGGCGTGTAAACAGGCCAAGAATCCTGTTTTTCCCTTCAGTTACCTGTATTTCTCCCAAAGTTCTGCTGAAGGTACATATTGACATTCAGATCACATTTGCATTCAGATGATGGCTTGTTGTTGGAAAAAAAATCCCTTCAGAGGGTCTGATTAACTTCCTTTCAAATGTTGGCTGTCCCTGGCCAAGGGAGAAGAACTAGAACACAACTCACTGCGTGGCTCATACCCGAGTGTGAAGACACGGGATCCTGTATTTTGCATTGTTCTCTCTGAACATTAATGCTCCTTCCAGCTTAGACATGACCTAATGACAGACTGAAGTCCATCTGTTACAATGACTAGCCTTGGACTCAGAGGGAGAGTCCTGTGGATAATTTAGGAGTGCATTTTATAGCTGCTTGCAAGCATTTCATTTCAGATCAAGGCGAACATGAGGAGCAGGTGGAAATCTCTCGCAGAAGTACAACCTGACCTACATACGGTATTGTAAATTAAAGATATGTATAAAAATAAAACATTAATGATCCATCACAGTTGCAACAAAACCCAGATATAAATCTTGCTGCTGGAAAGGAGCTTCATTGCACAAGGCTTAGTAAAGGCTTCATTTTGGAACCGGTGACACTCTTGCCGCCTCCGACAGTGGTGCCGCTCTCCTCTCCAGCTTTCTTGTGTTTTCTGTAGCTTAACGCTCACAGACCTTTGGCTTTATCACTTGTGTCTCAGTTTCCATGTGTTTTTTGGCAGTTCTGCCTTGTGTTGGCTCTCTGTTCCCCATTACCTCATGCTTTAGGAGCTGTGGGCTGTGTAGGGTGGCTCGGACAGCGCATGTCCTGGTGGTGTGGGGCCACACATGTCCTACAGCTGAGCTGGGTGGCACCAAAGCAATGCAGGAAAACATCAGCCTGAAGACCTTGTGCACCAGACTGGCTTTTATGGCTGGATAGGGTGTTTCTCCGGGGGTTTTAGAGAATTCTAGAGAGGAGGGATGGCAGTGGATGCTGCAGGGTGTGGATACACTTCAGATCTCAGAGCTCCTTAGCCCCCCTCAGCACCCACCTACACTATTACCTGTCTCACAGGTTGGATGCTAAACCCTCTTCTGAGACACCTCCTGCCCCATGGCTCACACCTCCCACCTCAGAGGGGCTCCGGGACACTCAGTCAGTGCTGGTGTTTACAGACTCCTGCAGGGGGATAACGAGTAAGGGGTGAGTCAGCTTCACAGATTCACAGAATCACAGAATCACAGAATCACAGAACTGTTAGTGTTGGAAAGGACTTCCAGATACCACCCAGTCCAACCCCCTGCCGAGGCATGGGGACCTGGAGCAGGTGACACAGGAATGTGTCTGGGTGGGTTTGGAATGTCTGTAGAGAAGGAGAATCCACGACCTCCCTGGGCAGCTCTGCCACCCTCCATGGAAAGAAGGTCTTCCCATGTTGAGGTGGAACTTCTTGTGTTTCAGTTTATGGTCATTGCTCCTCATCTTGTCACTCAGCTCCAAGGAAAAGAGTCTGGCACCATCCTCTGGACACCCCTTGGAGATATTTATATGCATTGATGAGATCCCCTCTCAGTCTTCTCCGGACTAACCAGGCCCAGCTCCTGCAGTCTCTCCTCATAAGGGGGACGCTCCAGTCCTTTAATCATCTCTGTGGCCCCTTCTGGGGGCACGGGGAGCGCTCAGCCGGGAGGGGCTGTGACATTACCTGGCAGAAAAGTGTTTTCACCATTTGGGTGGTCAGACATTGGAACGGGCTGCCGGGAGGTGGTGGAGTCAGCATGCACGGAATTAAGAGGTGTTTGGGTCTGGCGCTGGGTGATCCAGTTGAGGGGTTACGTTGGTGGTGCTGAGGGTGAGGGTTGCATTGGATGATCTCAAGGGTCTCCTTCAACCTTGCTGATTCTGTGATTCTGTAGTTTCGTGGTTCTGTGATCCTGCAATTTCCTGATTCTATGTTTCCCTAATTCCGTGATTCTATAATTCTGTGGGTCTTTGATTCTACAATTCCGTGATTCTGCAACTCTGCGATTCCATGATTCTGCATTTCTGTGGTTCCGTAATTTCCCGATTCTGTGATTCCGTGGTTCTGTGGTTCCATGACTCTATAATTCTATCATCCCGAGATTCCGTAGTTCTGTGGGTCTGTGACTCGCCGTTCCACAGTTCCCGGTTCCCGCTCGCCCGGCGGGTTCCCGCCCCCCCCGCTCCCTCACGGCCGAGGGCGGGAGCGGCGCGCGGCGCCCGTACTCCCCGCGGGCGGCTGAGGCGGGAGGCGATCCTGCGGCGGCCGCCATGTTGTTGTGGCCCGTGAGCGCGGCGGCGCGCCCCGACCGCAGCGACCCCGGCCCGGCAGGGACGCCCGCGCCCCGGATCGCGGCGGGGCTCCGCGCCATGCCCCTGCCCCGGCGGTAAACGAACCCGCCGGCGTGCCCGCTGTCCCGCGCGGGAGGGCCGGCCCGGCGCGAGCCTGGCGGAGCGCGGCCGCGCTGTCACTGAGCGGCCGCACGACGCGACCCGCGCCGCGGGTGCGGGGCCGTACCACGGGCGCCCTCAGCCCCCGCTCCGCTCGCCCCCGCCGGGGGCAGCCGGCAGAGGCCGGCTCCCAGGGCGGCCTCCTGTGCCGCCGTGCCGCTTCTCTGCGGGGCCTCGGCGGCGGGGGCCGGGCAGCGGCTGCCCGCTGGGCCTCGCCGGCAACGCGCCCCCGTGCCCGGCCCCGCGCGAGCGTCCGGGGTGGCCGGTCCCTTGGGGGGCCGGTTCGCCTTGGGTGGCCGTTCCCTTGGGGGCCCGGGTTCCCTTGGGGGTGGCCCCGTTTCCACCGGGGTGGCCGGTTCTCCCCGGGGGTCGGCCGTTCCCTGGGGTGGCCGTCTCCTCGGGGGGGCCGGTCTCCCCCGGGGGTGGCCGCCTCCCCCGCAGCACCGCCGCGATCGCCCCGTGCCGTTGGCAACCGCCGGCCCCTGCCCGGCTCCTCGGGCCGTGTGTCAGCTCCGCTCGGCTACCCTTGTGCGCGGGGCCGAATTCCCGTGCCTTTTATACCTGGGGCTTGTTAAGGCTTTTTATTGACATGGTGTTGCGGCTTTAATTGCGCCTCTTCCCCCTGTTCCTCTTAACAGTCCTGTTCTTTCACTGGGATCTGAGCAGATGTTGCCCTTCCTTGGTAAGTGCTTTGCCCCCCGATATGGAGCTTAAATGTGCGTTGAAGTTGTTCCCGCTCTTGTTGGCTTTTTATCAGCAGATGAGACCTGGTGTTTCTTCACATCTCTGCACAGGAAATTGATTTCTTTCCTTTCCGTGCACACTTCCCTCGCTGGGGGAAGGTTGGGTGTGAGCTTGTAACTCTTGCAGGCTTCAAGTGTTACAGGCGCTTTCCTGTGTGCTTCACCTGTTTGTTTGGTTGTGTGATGTAGCCGTGTCAATGAGGCTTTCTGTTGGAAGAAAGGAGCTTCTCTAGTGAATCATGTCAGGTAGTGCTGAGCGTGGAGGTGCAGCTTGGCTTTCTGGTGAATATAAAGGCACGTTTAGATTCCTTGGTGAGTCCACTGGGAAGGGACAGAGCGTGACGGAGGGAGCTATGACAGGTTTCTTGTAGTACCTGTCATGCTCTGAGCTGTAGATAAAGAGCTGAGCTGCCTTTTGTCTGTTACTAAAGCACGTGGTATTTGAAAATGAACTTTTTTGATGGAGGTGAAGGAGTTTTTATGAAGGAGTGCTTGTGAACTGGGGGGGAGGAGGCTGACATCTGATACCTGCTTTGCTTCAGCTGTTACTGATCGCTGTGGTTTGGGAGATAGAAGTGGTGCTTTCTTTCCTAGCACAGGAAATACTGAGCTGTAAGTGTTGAAACTTTGTGCAGATAAGTGAGGGCGGGGCACGAGGGTCTAGAATGCTTCAGTGACAAGTGCTTCTGTGCCTGCTTTGGGGCTTGGGGAGGGGACAAAGGGGCGCAAACAGTGGGGTTGACCAAACCATGTTGTTTTTTGAGTGATTGCACTAAAAGGTGCTCTTGTCCTACTTCACTTTATAGGAGTGATATATAGAGGGCCAAGTTCTCTTGCTGGCAGTGCTGTAGGTGCCTATCTAGGATGCTGTTAATATTCATTACATTAACTGCACTAGCAATTATTAAAATATCACTGTTAACCTGCTTAAGTAACCTGCCATGCAACCCACTAATGATACCACGGAGGTGGAGTAGGTCAGCTTGATAAGCTCTCATTGTATTTTATTTATTTTTTACATAAAAACAGCCATCTGCAGCTGGAGGAGACAGAAATGGAGCATGCCCAGGCTTCTGAAATAGAGGATACAATATTTTATCTCAGATCTCAATCCACCTACGTGCAGCCCAGGATGGTGGAGAGAAGTATGTTGTCAGCTTTCAGGAGTAGGAGGAACAGGGCTGTGCAGTGCTTAGCTGGCAATTAACCTGGAAAAAAGGAGTAACTTAAGGAGAGGGGGATCGTTGGGCTGCTGGAGTAACGGGCAAGTCTGCTGTAGCAGGGAAGAGGAATTGTCTCCAAGGAGTGACTTGGAGGAGCTGGGTTAGCAACCAGCCCAGAGTTCAAGATCTCTTCACCTGCAGAGATCAAAAGGCTGTGATGGCTGTTCCTGCCCTGATGGCTTCCTACTGGGAAGTGTAACTGGATATAAGGAGATAGGACTCTTCTACTTGGTATCGGTGGTGCCTTCCAGAGCACGTGACTCCAAACAGTGCATTAGAGCTTATCAAATGCTGTGAACTAGAATGAGACGTCCAGATACTTCACCATGCACTTGTTTCATAGTATCTTTCGCTGGCTGAGTCAAAGTAATGTCACGTTTCCTTCAAAATAACCTTTTAGGTGCTGAAATGTCTGAGCCAGGAGGTGCAACTGTTCTGCATTTGTCTCTGGCCTGGGTTGCTGGTGGTGTAAAGAGCTGCCTGTTAGATCCCATATGGGTTTGAAACTCTGAGAAATGAGCTTCATGACTTGTGATTCCGCCCCCCCTTCTAGATATCGGTGCCGTAACTTCCCAGTGCTGTCAGGAAAACTTGAGGAATGTGCCCAGCGCTCAATTCGTGCTGTGATCCTGTGAATTAACTGGATTGTTAAAAGACAACTATTTCTTTCTACATAATGCTTCAAAATTTCAGGCTGACTGAGTGGCTTTCGTGGAAGACCTCAAAGTGGAGCTGGTGGTAATTCCAGAATTTGAAATGCTGACTTTTTACCAGGAGCTCAGCTCCTGGTGCTTTAACAGCTTCTCCCTTGGACGGGGCAGGGTTGCTGTGTCCAGACTGGTGCATCGACTTGCATATGTGTCAGCTGCTTGTGGGATGGGCAGAGGTCACAAACCACAGCCTCCTTTGGTGTGAACTGTCCTTATTGGATTGTATTTTTCAGCAGAACAGCCAGAACTCTGCCCTTGCTTTGGGGGGAGCAGCTGAGAAGCTCTGACAGGATGGACTCGATGCCGTAGAAATCTAATGGTGCACTGGAGCATGAGTAGCCCTGACCTGTTCTTCCCCTCATCTGATCAGTAGTTTCTGGTGGTGGTGTGAGGGAGGTGAACCCCAGCTGGCTGTAGTGATTCCAGGGGTAATGTTTCATCCCGTAAGGAAGCCTCCAGTCTGTCCCTGCTGCTCAGAGCTGCAGGGAGTAGCAGCAGGGAAGAAATGTGCGTGATCTTGTTGCAAGCAGTGGTATGTCTCACCTTTAGTCTGTTCTGAGGTGTCAGGTTGTGCTGTTCTGAGCCAGAGGTGCTCTGCTCTCCTCCAGCCAGTGCCAATGTGCACCTGGAGGTGAGGCTTGGACCTGTGGAGCCGTGCGAAGTGAGCTGGGGGGGAGGGCAAACAGGCAGCTTTCTAGAATGTTGACTGACGTGGGGAAGCTGCTTCTGGAGTCACTGATGTCCGGCAAAAAGCAGTGTTTGTAAAGGCTTCACTTAAAATACGATTGCTGATTCCTAGCTTTGGTTCATCTTCTGAAACTTGGAATCTTAATGTGAAGCTGGGAAAGCAGCACTTGGTTTGACACCTGAATGTGGCTGCAGGTTAAGCTGGTAACTGGTAGTGGGCTCTCTAGGGCTTACTGGGGGCAACTGGGTATTTCAGAGGTTTTGTTCCCCCTCATGGGTGGAACAACAGACCTTGTGGGTCCTTATTAACCCCTTATGGGTGTTAATGCTAAAAATTGTAATAAGGTAACCATGGAAAGATCCAGCTGGAAGTTTTTCTGGAATTTGTGTGTGAGGCTGTTAATGACATTGAAATAGTTGTCATGGAGGTGGTGGAACTCTGAGAAGGGGAGAAAAACCCCCCAGACTCTGAAAGAACTGCCTGAATAAGGGGCTCTTGCTCTTCCTTGGGAGAGTTGGATTTCAAAAAACTTGAAGCTGGATGGCCCTTGTTCAGCAATACTGCAACTAAATTGTACAAGCTGCTGTATTGAAGTATTGCCACTTCTGAAAAGTGAATACTTTGAACAAGCTCCAGTGGAACTTGATTTTATTTTTCCTCTTGACTAGGAATGCAGTGAAAAGCTGTAAAGCAGCAGTGGCTCGGGGGCAGGCTGTTGTACATCACCAGTCATGCCAGTAATGAAATGTGTCCTCAATAACACATGCTAATGGATTTTAAGCAGCATTAAACTCCTTTTTTAGAGAAATTTAACCAAAAATACTGAACTGTAAATACTTCAAAATATAACTTTGCAGGCTGATGTTGAAAGAGGACAGAACATCAAAGAAACCAAGGCTTGGAGAAGCACCGTAGGTGACAAGCAAAGCAAGTTGTCCTTTGCCTTGCTCAGCACATCTCACTGCTTTCAGCCTTCATTGTGATGGACTGAGTAACCACGGTGGAAATGAAGCTGGGTTTGCTCTGCACAGCTTTCACCTGAGATGCTGATTGGGCTGATGCTTTTACTGACTTTGGTTGCTCATCAGGTTGTTCTGCAGCGTGCAAACAGCGTGGCAGTGCTCAGCTTCACGATTTTAGCTGCTGTGTATCTGCTGGAGCGTTAGAGCTGGTGCTACACTGGGCTCAGCTTGGCAAGTTGTCCTGTTGCCTATGGAATTAGCTGGAAGCGAGAATGAAATCTGAAAGTTAGTGTTAGTCCCTGGCTGTCGGGAAGAGCTGGGCTTTAGGAAAGGCAGGCAGAACAGAGCACCACCCTGACTGGGGTGTGTTCTTTACAGGGGCAACTGTAACAGGGAATGTCCAAATGTTTGAACTTCCCAGGCTGGACAGCAAGGGAGGCTTGGAGCTTCCAGCATGTGGCCTAGAAGGCAGTGACTATCCGTGTAGGAAAGACTTGTGCTCTGTTTTTCTTCGATATTTAGGTGTCTTCTTCCTTGCTGTTGTGTGTGTGGGTCTCAGCTGTATGTTCTGTGCTCCCTCCATTCCAGTTTAGTCCAGTCATTCTTGCATCGTCTGCAGAGTGATGTTGTCTTGGTTTGATTTCAGAACTGAAGTTGTTCTTTTCTGGGACTGTCTCTAGCAGATGTGCCAGGTCTAATGTATCAGGTTTAGCCTTTCCTGGAAAAAAGAATCAAAAAGGACTTTTTTCACTATAATCTCAGCTTCCTACTTTTCAAGGTAACGATGTTGTTAAAGTAACTTACTACCTGTATGTGCTTCTCTCATGCTTTACATTATCCCCATGGCTAAGAATTCTACCAAAGCCTCTCATTTATGGTTCTTCTTACCCAATTTTAAGAAAGATTTTCATCAGGGAAAACCAGTGAAAATGGTTTGAATCTTTCTTTAACTGAGATTTCTGAAAGCAAAGTAGCATGAAATAGATCTCTAGGGTGCCTGTCTGTGTGATGAAGTCTTTTGTGTATACAAGTCTAATAGTCTCTAAGTATTTTGGATTGTTCTGGTACTCTGAAGGTTTAGTTTTTAGAACATATAGGCAATATGGGGGGAAGTAATGCACTTGAGGTTGAATTTGTGGAGGAAGGCTGCTGCATTGCCATAATTAAGTCTTTGTAGTTTTTCTTTCCGATACCAGAGATTTGTGCACTGGTATAGACATTATTTATAGAAACACTGTTAGAACAGTTTTGTGTTGCCCTTTTGTGGGCCTCATTTGCTTCTCCAACTTTGGAACTGGAAACTAGGGCTATAATCAAAGCATTAATTCTGTGGTGTTACCTGGGAGGACGGAGCTT